GCCCTGGGGGAAGAGAGAATTCAGCCCATTCTCTGCCACCCATTACCCTCTACTATCAGGCACCTGAGGGGATTCTTGGGCACCACTGGGTATTGCAGAATTTGGGTCTCCAGAAATGGAGAGTTAGCCAGACCCCTCTACCAACTCCTTAAAGAAGCCCAATGGGAAGGTACCATAAAACTCCAGTGGGAACCTGATGCTATTAAAGCTTATGAGGCTTTGAAAAAAGCCCTGCTCCAGGCCCCCACCTTAAGCCTGCCCACTGGAAACCGGTTTAACCTATTTGTTACTGAGAGATTGGGAGTGGCACTGAGAGTACTGACCTAACCTCGAGGAGAAAAGCAGCAGCCCATAGCCTATCTAAGCAAGGAACTAGACCCAGTAGCTAAGGGCTGGCCACATTGTCTGAGATCTGTGGCAGCTGTAGCCCTGCTAGCCACAAAACTGACCCTGGGAAGAGACTTGATAGTGCACGCACCCCATAACATCACCAGCTTATTGAACACCCGGGGGGACCTGTGGCTATCAGACAGCAGGCTACTAAAATATCAGTCACTCCTCCTTGAGGGCCCTGTCACCCAGCTGCGGACATGCTCCACCCTAAATCCAGCCACCTTTCTACCTGAATCCATGAGCAAAGGACCTGAGCATGACTGCCAGTAGGTCCTTGCCCTAAACTATTCTGCCAGAGAAGACCTAAAAGACAGCCCCTTAGAGAACCCAGAGCTTGTCCTCATCACAGATGGCAGCTCCTTTATTGAGCAGGGCCAGTGGAAAGCTGGCTATGCAGTTGTCACTCTGTGGGATACTATCGAGTGCCAACCACTTCCACCGGGCACGAGTGCCCGGCTGGCAGAATTAACAGCCCTCACTAGAGCCCTTGAAATAGGGAAAGGAAAGAGAGTCAATATATACACTGACTCTTAAGTATGCATACCTAGTGCTGCATGCCCATGCAGCCATATGGAAAGAAAGAGATTTTTTAAACTCTGAAGGATCCCCTATCAAATGCCATAATGCCATTTTACTCATTGAGCTCATCATTATCCTGATACTAATATTTAGCCCCTGTATGCTTAACATAATAACATGATTTGTTCTATCTTACCTAGAAGCCATAAGACTGCAAATGTTATGGAAATAGATCCCAGATGGAAGTGCCCATCTTCCGAAGCCTTCTTGACTGACCACTGATGGAGAGCTAACTGCACCTCTTGCTGCGTCCCTTCTCAGCATGAAGCAGCCAGAGCAGTCATCACCCCCTTTCCCTAGCAGCAGCTAGGGTCTCCATCTGTAGAGGGGGGAATGAGACAGAGACTGTGAGTGCAGTCAGAGTAGGGTGAGGGCCTCCAGAGAAAAAACAGAGCAAGATAATTACAGTCAGAACAAGTAGCAATGTGCAAAGAAGTTCCTATTGAAACTCTGTGATAAGCATTACGCAAAGTCAGAGTCACACGAATTCTCTAGGGTAAAGATAACAGACTAGGAATATGGACATCTTCAGTGAGATCAGTTAAAACTCAAAAGGCCAGCAGCAACTTGGCCTGGAATGTTTGAGTGTTCTGCAGATAAAGAAAAGTGTCTCATCATAATCTGTGACTTCACTGTATCAATTTAAATCATAACACTGTAAAATTTACCTTAGCCTGCTAAAAGGCCCAGCTTATTTTAACCGTACCTATGTGCTCTATTTCCTTCTCTGATCCTAACCAAGTCATCTGCAACCTAGGAAAAAGACTAATTTAGTAAGCAAGCCCAACTATAAACAGCCCAAGAAGTTAAGAAGTAAGATTCTGAACTTACTTCAGCAAACAGGCAACAACAACCCAGCCCACCTTGGGGGCAGGGTAGGTGCTCTTAATTGACATGCTCCCAGAGGGACACTGCTATCTTGAAAAAGGATCAGAGCAGAAAATTTCTTCTGTTACTCATCAAGAATCAGCATTCTGGGACCACTCAACAAGTCTGCACCCCTAACTCTTTACCCTCATTCCTGAAAATCCTCAACTGTGCATAAAACCCCCAGACAATGAACCAATCATGGACTCTCTTGTCCCCTCTTGGCATGAGCTGGGAGCTCTGTCCTCTGACTTTATCTCTAAATAAAAGCCTGTACCTTGCTCTCCTACCTTGAGTGTTTGTGAAACCCATTCTTCTGCTTCGTGAACAAGAACCCCGGCATCACTGGTAATTTTTATTGCTGGATTGCTGGTGATGGTTTTTACCTGCGTTTCTGTGTGTGCCATTCTTTGGTCTGGGTGGTGAAGTTATGTTTGTGTCTGTGGAGCAGTAGTTACGTGTCTCCCCTTAGTTTTGCTTAAGGTATTGTACTCCTGGTACCTCCTCTGAACACAGAAAGTAAAATAATACCTCTATCAAGGCTGGTTTGCAGATCCATTATCTTATTCTTTGATTTCCAGTGAAAATGAACTATGAGAAGTAAAAATAATTTGGTAGGCATCATACAAAAAATTGCTATCAATTCTTCATGTGCTTCCCTGGCACATATGTGCTTCGTTTGATATTGACTGAAATTATTGCAGCTGGATACCACCAAGAGCTGATTGATCTCTTCTTGCAGACCTGGGAGCGATTAGAAGATTCTGGAAAAAAACAATGTTCGTAAGATCTTTACTGGGGTGACCCTCTCTTTTTCCCCAGGGAAAGGATATTCTCCTAAGTCTTCTTCATGTATGTATCACTAGTTTTGCCATGATTAAGTAAAGCCTTTATTTTGTTAATAGTACAGAATTCTGTAAAATTAAATATATGCATTTTCCCCAGGTGGTTTACAGTAACTAAAAGCTGTGTATGAAGGAGTTAGAGAAATAAAATGCTCTTCACTTCATAAAACTTCAGCAACTGGTTTTCATTAGCAGTAATGATTGATGGGGATTTGTTGGTGAAACTGTGGTCCCAGGAGCAGAAGTCACGGTGTAAACAATACTTTGCTAACAAAAGGCAACTGTTCACATGGTTGGTACATGCAGGGCTGCCAGACTGTGAACAATAGGCACATTCCCTGATTTGGGGTGGAAGTGCTCAACCGTGATTGTGACATGAACTACTGGATTTCGTAAATTTTGTTAAACAGAATAGATTTAATTTATGCATTTATTTTTCTCCAACAAAGTTTAAAAAATGTGTCTGAAAAGTTAAAATATCTTCACTGCATATTTGGGAAATTATAGTGTTTACTGAATCACATTTAATTCTTCAAATGCTGAGCTTCAAACACTACCTTCAAAGCCTACCTCAGGACAAGTGTTTATAAAACCTCTCTGAAGACAGTAAACACATTTTGAAACAAATTTTTGAGGCATGGTGATAAAACCTGCTCAAGATGGTAACAGTGTTACAATGCTTGGAAGGAACCACAGAACTTCCCTATGTGGTGACTTTCTATGTCACTAACTCCACCTCCACATTCCTTGGTTACTTAGGAAAAACAGGCATTTAGAATAGCCATGTTTTTAGCCACTAAAAAGAGTGAAGACAACTTTGGCACAGAAGAGGAATAAGTTCCCTCCCTCATCTACTGCTTGGGTAACTATATTGGGCTCAGATGTTGGCAAAGAGGGAAAGAAGGGGAAAAATAGAGGAACAAGACTGGGGTCCTAAATCGTGGGAAGGAAGAAAGAAACGAAGGTGGTTAGAGAGTTTATGATAAAAGGCAGATATTATTACATATGAAGATTGAAGTTTAGCTGCTCCCATTTTGAAAATATTTCCTATTTTATAGTTTTAGCAAAACTAGTGTCATGTACTTGCACTATAGTTGAGTGACTTAAGTGGGGGATTTGAGTATGAGTTCATTTGTATGGCCATTCAGAGTTGCCAAGAATGTCTCTGATAATTTTCATCCATGACCTTTGAAATTTTTTTCACTACTTACATACTGACATTTCTACATGATCATATGCTGTCTAGTTTTATGCCAATGTATTTAATTTAAAAGTTTACCTTTCCATAAAAATAGAAGTTCTTTGGGAGGTACCTTCCACAGAGCCTTATATTTCATTAATTGGTTTACATTGTCTATAGGACAGCTTTTCTGTCTTGTTCACTGCTGAAATCCTGGGCTTAGCACAAGGACTGGTGCATAGCAGACTTCTAACAGATACTTGTTATATCTTTGAGAGAACGAATAAAGAGAATTAAACTCATACATAGTGGTTCAGTAGCTATTTCCTCAATGTGTGTGGGCAGCAGGATTCAGCAAACTTATAGAAATAAAGCAGTTAGGTTTTTCAAAAGTAAGTGCCATTCAGGATCACTTATTAAATGGATATTGTTCAGAGGGTTTTAATAAATTAACATTAGGGGTACTGTTAACATATTCTGGTAACCTGAGGTAGATTTACTAGAATCAGTCTTGTCAGAGTGAAATACTTTGGTTTGGGTACAAAATACTGCCCTAGTTTCAAGACCCAAAATAGACAAAATCTTTGACAAGGGGTAAGTAGAATTTAATTATTAGAGCTTAAGTCATATATTTGTTTTACATATAAAAATGTGTGCCTGTATATTACATCTACATAAAGATACACATATACCTCTGTTTATTACATATGTTACACATAGAGATGTTCACTTACATGTTTGGTTCTTGTCGTAAACCTTACATCTTAACTTGCAACCATAGAGTTCTTTTACAGATCATAGAATTATTTGTTATTTTTACTTAGGCTATTTCCATGATTAAAATTCCATGTCTCCCCAGGTTTCCGGGTATCAGCAGTGCCCCAGAAAGTGTTTCCCTTTCTGAGACTCCAGGGAAGTCTTGGAACGCAAAGAACTTGAACAGGGAGCTTGGCCAAATAGAGATTTTTGAGCCTTGGTAGGCTTGCTGAAGCAGATTTTAGCACAAACACAAATCAAAGTCTGTGTGTTCTTAAAAAGAGCGTTTTTATGTAAGTCCAACGAGCTCACTTTGCTTCTATTTGTTTTGGCTAAAGAAATGAAAAGCTTTGTTTTAACCACACAGTCATTATTTTGCAAGGGAGCATAACAAATTATTTTAATACCTTTAATCTCACTAAAGAACAACTAAAGTTACTTGATGTAACTTTTTCAATGGAAACACAGCAACTAAATATTCTCTAATGTCATTTTCTAGAGCTGAATCAAAAATTTCCCAGGTATTTTTGTAGTACAAGGGAATTTGATTTTGTTGCTTGTATTCAACATTTTCTTCTAAAGAATGATGACTTACGATTTTGTCCATTTGAATTTTAACAGATTTTTGTTTTCTCTAAAAGAAAGAACTAAGAAATACCAAGATTTAAAACTTAAATACTTTGGAACACTCCGAAGAACAACATGGGAAAAACTGGTAGACGAATTGAATCTCATAGAATAAGATGTCTTTCCAAGCTGAAGGTATGGAATATTTTTTGTGTGGCTATATGTATATGTACCATTTTTTAAAATTTCTAAGCTTAGATCTTATAGAGTTGCTCAGATCTTCCTGAAGTGATTTAATATTGTCATATGACCTGATACATTGATAATTTCTTGCTTTAATGAAGTTAGTTTTGTAAATGAGGGTATGTTTAAATAGGGTAATTGATTCAGCCAATTCAATCATAAGTGGTTTTGAGGGACTTAAATGGAAGATTGGGTCTCTGAAAACTTCAGGTACACATTATGTTACAGTGGGATTTATTTTCTGGGATCAGAGGCCAATTTAATGCTCACCCCTTCTGGGGCTTCTAGGCCAGAGGGGACTTTCCTGGAAAATGGTTCACTGGACAGAAATGCTTTGTTGGTCTGTATGCACTGCTTATTTCATAATGACAAAGTAAAACAAATGTTTGTGTCAAGCTTTGGCAATATAACTGTTGTTCTCTATAGGAAAAATGCCCTTTTTGTTAGCTGTTTCTGGTATACTTGACTATTTCAGAGCAAATTCTTTTTTGCAGAGCTTCAAAGCTATTTTGCCTTCACACAAACTTCAAATTTGTTACTTGAGCCCAGGGACGTGGGTTTCTCTTGGTTCTACAGCTGGTGCCTGCAAGTGGTTTCAGAATTAAGATACGGCTGCCAATATTCTCCCTATTGAAAGCTTATTTTCTCTTTATGCATTTGTAGGGAAAATCTGTACATGTACATGAAAGTGCAGAATTATGATATTAATCTAGAATACTACTTTTGCCTCAGATGCCATGTTAATTGTAAAAAAAAAAATTCCCTTAAAATGTCCCTCAATTCTCATGTCCTCCTAATAGGAGTGATTAAAAATAAGGACTGAGGACTGGGCTCCCGGAGTTCATATCTGAGTTCAACTGCTTATTTGCTGTGTGACCTTGGACAAGTTGCTTAACCTCTCATTTTTTTCTAATTTATTTTCTCATCTGAAAAGGGTAATAACAATACTCCTATCTCATAGGCTATTTTTTCTTTTAACGTGGTTGCCACAATGACTGGAGTATTGTAAATAGTCAATAAATATTAGCTATTATTATTAACAGCATTTGTGGATAAATGCCAAATCTGTTGTTATTTATAAAATGCCAAATCTGTTGTTATTTATAAACAGTTGGTCCTTAATTTTTTTCTTTGGAGTTTGGCAAGGTTAGATATTGATGTGAATATTATGGCAAAATATTGCAAGCACTAGATTGTCAGGTAAAGCAGGAAGCAATTGCTTAATAATCAGATGTTTTTAGCTTCTCTTAAAAATATGCTCCTGTAAAAAACAAACAAACAAACAAAAGTGCCTGGAACACAGTAAATGCTTACAAAAGTTAGCTCAATCAGGCAGCTGATTCCTCCTGACTCAGTACTTTGGTTTAACTCTTCGTGTACTTGGGGTTCACCTCTCAACTAGACTGGAAGCTTCCCGAGAGCAGCGATCACATCTTATTCTTCTTTATATCGTGATGTTGCATCATCACATGAGAGCGAATTCACTTAATGTGCTAATTCAATAAAAGGAGAGTGAAATTAAAAAAAAAAATGCTCCTGAAGCAAACTTCTTTAGAAAATATCACAGGACTGTCTTCAATAAATCTGACTCAAACTCTGGGGCACTATTGTCAAAGGCTGATAGAACTAGGTTTACAAATATAGAGGTTATTTTGTACTAGACAGAAGTCAGATGGCCACTGGTGGCTTTCACTCTGTGAATGGAACTGGTTAAGCAATCCATCGACGTGTTTTAGGAAAGAGCACAGGGGTTATGACTTGTCTACTTTCTTCTCTTAAAGTGTTAAATAAAATAAATTATTCTCCCAAATATGATTTGTACTTTACTTGGTAGACCTTGCTTTTAGATATAAAACCTGAATTAGAAAACCATGTGAAAATTCTTTACTCTCAAAACTGCTCTGCAAAGATTTATAGTGTGAAGAGACAGAGTTTCTATATACTGTGTTTACTATAAAATAATAAGTAGCTAGAGATACAGCTGTATTATCTTGTCTAACAGTTTTGATTCATACTGAGCTTGATATTTTAGTTTCCCAGGTCTTCACATAAATTTCGATGCAGATTTCCCCAAATGAATTGGTGCAGCTGACTCTTGGCTTTAGGGTGTTTGATCCTATTACATTTCACCTTATATTCAGTTTACTTTCAGCTCTGACTACTTCCTTAAAATGCTTCTGAATACTTATTCTGTCTTTAATACAGTAAACTTGTCTCAGGTGCCTACTATTCATCAGGCACTAGACATCAAAGATGCAAAGGTAAATAATGTATGGCTCCTATGTTTGAATTGCTCGTAGTAGAGTGAGGAAGGATGATAAAGGCATCCAAACACATAAATAAAGTACACTGTGGTAAGAGCTATAATGGAGGCAGGCCTACAGCAGGATGGGAAAGTAAGGGGTGAGGGATCAAAGCTACCCAGGGGAACAGTCAGACAAAGAAGATTCCACAACAGAAATGATGAAGGAGTTGTTTTAAAAATTGAATCAATATTTATCAGATGTACAAGCGGAAGAAGATCATTCCAAGCAGAGAAGCATCAGCACCGAGATGTAAAATCATGGTGAAATAAAAGTAGGAGCAGACCGTTATGTTAGCAGGAGATGATACTGAGATACAGATGAGCCATTGCCATCTAGAAAGGATGGGATTTTTGCTTGCGGGAAGACACTAAAAAGTTTAAAGAAAGGGAATCACAGGCAAACTATACATTTTATGCATTCATTTGACAGATATTTTCTAAGCTCCAAATTAGTGGCAGTGGCAGGAGGAAGGGAGGCTGGAGGTGGGCAAGGCTAGAGGAGACCAAACAATGGTTGCAGGTGTCTCAGCTGAACTGGGTATACATTAGAGAGATTCCAGCATATGGGTGATAGTTAGAGCCGTGGGAATAAGTGACATTTCCTAGAGAGAGCATGTCTAGCTGAGAGTAGAGTATAAAACAAAAGCCTGAAGGGAACGCCAAAGAAGAGAAGACTTAATAGAAAGAGTTTAGTAGGTAGGTGGGGATTTTGGATACATGGGGGGGAGAATTTCAGGAAGAGAGATGAAGGGTGTAAAATGACTGAGATATCAAGTAAACTGAGGTCTGAGAAGTATCTATCGAATTTTGAAATCAGGAAGTTGTTTATGACCTTTTATGAAGTAGGTTTCAGAGAGGCCAGATGGTAGGTGACTGAAGGGTGAAGGTTCAATCATCCAGGCAATGCATCTGGCTGAGTCTTCCAAACAGATTGATGGTAACAGGAGTAGCTACCATCAGGGGCGAGGGAACTTTTCTTTTTTCCATAAAGCAGAAATATCTTGAATATATTTATACATTAGAGGGGAGAGAGGCAGTACAGTGTGAGATTGAGAATAGAGATGGGGGCAATAACTGATGAATCAGGATCTCAGAAATGGGAAGAATGGATCTGAGAGCATGGATGGAGGGATTTTATTGTATAGGAGAAGAGACATCTATCCTTCTAAGATGGGAGGGAAACTAGAGGGACAGAGAGAAAGGTAAGTTTGAAGGTGAGGTTCCTGAGATCATTTGCTAGTCACATGGCTGGGTTAGAGACTAGGAAACAGAAAATAATGTGACTCATCCTGAGGGAATGTGCAAGGCGCAATATAAATTGTGGGACTGATATGAGATTGGGAGTGTGGAAGGTGGAGAGGGGAAGATTTTAGGGATTTGAGTGTGGTGGCTACACAGTAAATTGAATGGTTTCCCAGGATGAAAGCATTATCAAAAAATATTATAAATAGGATCAAGGGAATAACCCCATGGTGTAGGATTGGAGACCACGATTCAGGCTGAAATAAATCAATTTCTCTCTAATTTATTTATTTTGAAGCAGTAATTAATTTGCCTATGTACACTATAAGCCACTCAACATTTTCAAATCCCCTACTAAAATCTAAGTTTTCTAAGTGAAAATTTTAACCTTTGATATTTTTAGTAAAACTATACGAGCTCCTGGTGATCACAGTGGTTCTATTTGTTAAGTTGTCCTTGATTTTTGTAGGGTGGCATCAACCTTACTGCTGTCTGGAACTATATCAATATATAGGAAATGTTATTTGACATATGGAAATTTATTGTATTGATATTTGTTTATTATAGCAAGTACCTGTTCAGTTTTAAAACATTTTTATAATGGTTTAGAATTAAAATATTGCTTTAGATAACTGGTAGTGAGCAACAATCAAATGTATAATTTGCATATTACTCTGGATGAGAGAGAAGGTGAAGTGCATTTGCTACAAAAATAATGTCTGTGCAATGCTACATCCCTTTTCTTTCACTAACATGTGTATTCTTTTGTACTACAGACAATGTAGTGTGAAGAAAAAACTATTTAAATCATTAGCCATATCTTACTTAGAAAAACTATGTGCTTCTATATATGTACAAGATATGCCTATAAAATAATGAGGTGGCAATTACCTGCAATATTGAATGGGACTAATTAATTAGTCCCACTCTGAGTTTTCAAAGACAGAACGCTGTATGAGAAACAAGAACAGACCACATTAAAAGTTTTCCGCAACTTTAAGAGTTACTTAAGTTGGAGAAAATCAGTTGTGTGGTAGAAGATATTTTGTCAATGGGTGGCAAATATACAATGTCAAAATAAATTTTTCATATGTTTTCTTATATTCTTTTCTCCCTAGATGTTTCTATTGGCAATAACATGTGCCTATGTATCCAAAACACTATCTGGATCTTATATGAATTCCATGCTCACACAAATAGAGAGACAATTCAACATCCCAACATCTCTAGTTGGATTTATTAATGGCAGCTTTGAGATTGGTAATGAGTTATTTTCGCATTATTTCTTTTCATATTTTATCTATGAAGCTAGTTTGAATTGTATTCTCATTATTTGCTACATTAGGACATTTAATCTGACTGAACAATATATTTTCTAGACAGATGGAATAGCCTAGGTAACTTTGGAATATGCTTAGAAATAATTTTTTAAAATATTACCTCCAAATAACACTTAAATATTGCTATATACCTTACCATTGGATTTTTAATTCTAATGGGGGTTTTTTTTTTGGTTATCTAACCTAAGCAGCAGAGCATTTAGAGTTTTTGTTTTACATTTAATCTATCATTTGACAATGCTTAAGGTCTCTATCTTCATATTCAGAAAATAGGAGAAATAGAGGAGTCTGTTTCCAAAGGTAAAGTAAATATTTTTCTTCTATTGTTTCTGTGAGGTTAACAATTCTGAGAGCAGAGGGAATAAGAAGCTGCTTTCACATCTCCCTGAATTTATCTTAGAAACAGCCTCCAGGGAAGAATGGAGTCTCTTCTCAGGCTCTGATTTGTGTAGGTGACCAGGAAGGTGTGAGGACAGAGAGGAAGAATGAGGGAGAAAGATTTCTCTTGTGAACAAAGCCACACTGAAACATGAATGGCACTCCTTTACGGTTTTATAACGGCTTCTACTTTCTTCAAGGTGAAAGTTGCTTTTTAATATACTTAATCGATATCTGAAAGAAAGATCAGGATTGTGGAGAGGCGAAACTGAATCAGGTGATGCTTGATCTTATTTCTCAGTGTTCAACGCCCTCAGACCTCACTCTGTACCACAGTGTGCTAGGTCCTGATGATGGGGTTAGGAATAACTTTATATAGTCCTGTGTAGACTCAGCTCACAGTCCAATGGAAGGCATAGATGCAAAATTATAATTTTAATTGAATGTGTCCAATTTGGTAAAGAGGTATATGCAAAGTCCCGTATATCACATAACCTCACATAGGGAAGACAGGCTATTGAAAGACTAAAAATTTTCCAGGTAAAAGAAATAGGGTTAAATCTTGGAGGGAATTCCAATACAAGAAGCAGCTTAAGGATGAGGCAGTATAGTAGCTTATGTGGGAATTATTGAATGGCAAAGTTTAAGGTGGAAATTATTTACAAAGGAGCCCAGAGAAATGGATAGGGGTGAGAAATGGGCTACAGTTACCCGTGTGTGCTTGCTGTGTAACTTACACTTTATCTTCTAAGTAACAGAGTGTCATTAAGAGATGGGCAGGAGTTATTAATATTTCTGGGCCAAGGATCTCTTTGGCAATCCGATACCATGTGATCTCCATGAGAATATTTTTAACTGCACAAAATTAAAACTATGAGTACAAAGGATGCCGGTTATATTGAAATTAAATTGTTAAAATATGAAAGCAATTTGTCATGTAATATTTGTGCTCATCAATCCATTAAATACAGTATCTACACTAATTTTGAGGTGATGATCAGTATCAATAACATTTTGAGGTACCTGCAACAACTGTCATGTCATATGCAAATGTATTTAACTTCTATTGATGACAATCTGTGACAACTTCATAGGTTGTGCTAATACTATGGTGCCTACTTTCACTGTCAAAGGAATGCTAACATTTGGTTAAAAGCTAGTGAAAATACAGATGTAATTTTTTTTTCTCACTCAATTTCATGGAAACTCTGATTTCTGTCTCTGGACTCCTTGAGGGCTTATACACTGCAGATTAAGAATCCCCGTTGAAAGCAAAGGTTAGATTTGCTTCTTGGCTGTGTTGGGGATAGATAGGAAGGTGGCCAACCAGACTGGGGCAGAGGACCCAAGGAGGCCAATGCCAAAGGCCAAGGGAGAGCTATCTGGGCCTAGGAGAAGATCATACTGGTGGGAATAGAGAGAAGAGGGTGACCTAAGAAATACTCAAAAGTTTAATTTCAGAAAATTTAGTGACAGATGGGATGTGGTAGGTGAGAAAAGAGGGCATCCCCAGGTTTACAAGTTGGACAATGGGGTGGCTAGCAGTGCTAAGACAGAGACTAGGGAAAAAGGGAACGAGATTATGGTGGTCACCTTGGGGATGATGATGAGTCTGTTTAGGTAAATAGTCTGGTAGGATCTGTGAGACCTTTGGGTGGCGATGTACACATTTTAATTATATGAGTCTGAAGCATTGGGGACTGTCTGGGTTGGAGTTTCTGATAAGTGAGTAAACAGGTTGTTAAAACTAGAGAACAGAAGAGGCTACTCAGGGCGAAGGTGTAGGGTGATAAGTACAGTGGACAAAGACTGGATGCTTAGGTGCACCAGTGGTTAAGGCGCCGTGGAAGAAAGGACCCATGAAAGTGTTAAGAAAAGGAACAGTCAGAGAATTAAGCAGGGAAAAAGGACAGATGGTGTTATACATGCAGAGGGAGTAGACATTTCCAAAAGAAAAATTCATCAACAGTATTAAATGCATTAGATAAGGATAGAAAATGATTCCCTGCGATTTATAATGAGGTGATAATTGATGATCTCTGCCAGGGCACTTTCTGTTGAAGAGCAGATTTAGTTGCTAGGAAGCAGTGAGAGAACAGTGGAGGTAGCAGAGAATGAGAGGGGAAGAAGTGGCATCTGTGTGGAGGTGAGCATTAGTTTGGAGAGGAACAGGAGAATATCTGGGACATGCATGCAGTGAAGAGGGAGAGGTTTACATATATGAGAGAGATTTTAATTATTGGAGGAAGTTTCTGAAGAGACTGGAAGTGCCCAGGTGGCGAGTTGGACCTTGGATGGTCGGAGGGGCTCCACAACCTCTGGAGCTGAAGCAAGGTGGTCAGGCCAGAGGGTGGGAAACCCCAATGCCTTCATGTGGCATGTGGTTTGCCACCGATTCCCTGACGAGATAGAAAGTATTAACTATGGAGAGTGACACGTGGCAGGTGGCTTGAGGAGCCATGAAGATCCGAAATAGCTGTTGGAGAGGAGAGCTCATTTACAGTTGCCAATAAGAGTTATCTTTGCTTATCTTTCCTGCGTAATTTTTAGAGAGCATCCTCCATACCTTTGACAAAACCCATCTGTCCTCCTTTCCCCTCTCATGGTGATTATTTTACTGATAATTTGAAGCAAGGAAATTTGAAGAATGAACTCACCCTTATGTCAAGAGGGACATTTCCTCCTTTCTTCTTTCAAAAATGGATATGGATTTCAAAGAGAGGCCTTCTGGAGCAATACTTCCAAATCAGATGGCTTTGCTGATGGGGATTTTAGCAACCTAGGGAAGCAAATTTAGATTCCATGGCTGGAGATGTAGGGCACTGTCCGTATAAAATAATGTTGGGCTGCATCTTTTATACTTCCAAGGCAGACTAGAGGGAAACAGGTATGGAAAGAAAAGTCTTCAAAATATTTACCACCACTTAGAAAAATTATTAACTCCTTGAGGAAGAGATTTTAAAGAATTTATGATCCTCAAGCTTATCACAGAGGTTTCTCTTATATATAGTAGGATCAATATAGGGTAAATATTGATTACTGAATTGAAAATGTATGATTTGGGAACTTAATCATAAGGTGGCTCTTTCAACCCTTTACTGCATACTTACCAAGGAATTGTCCATCAGAATGAGGCCTCTCCAATTAGTTTCTTTATCCTAAAACTTTATCCTAAGACATAGGGATATATTTTTCATTGAGTTACTTACTCCTCAAATCCAAACTTAGTTTTAAGACCCAGCTGGAGAAGTGGGGATCCACAGGTTTTACTTTTAAGGAAAGAAATAGAAATAAGCATAGATGTATAGCTTGGTTACATTGACCAATTCAAAGAGTTACATTTGAATAGTGAGTTATAAGACATACATCTGTCTGGAGTTGACTTTTGTTTCACCTCTTGACATACAGTCTGACGTTTACTTTTGCATCCCATTTCCTAAGTATAGATAATCGTAAATAAAGCCTTTAAAATTTCCCAGAGCCATTCTTTAACCCCTTCCACTGGCTTCTCTTCTTTGGCCCTCCTTAAATGTTGGTGTTCTGCAGAGATCTGTTGGTGTAGCCGCTGACATTGTGAAACAGAGCCCTCCCTCAGGGAAGGGATTGTGTCTTATGCACTTCCTGTTTCATGTATCCCTAGCACCAATCCCAGTATGTGACATAGTTTTTATACAATAAATGCTACATAGTCAATGATTGGATGAGGTTGTTAAGACAATGTGCTTGCTTATTGAAATTTTCATTTTTCATCTCAATTTTTTTCCCCAGGAAATCTTTTGTTGATTATATTTGTGAGTTATTTTGGAACCAAACTGCATAGACCTATAATGATTGGTGTTGGCTGTGTGGTTATGGGCCTAGGGTGTTTCTTACAATCTCTACCTCATTTCCTCATGGACCGGTAAGTACTACAGTCTCTGACAATTTTTTTGACTCAACTTACAATAGCGTTAATGAAGCTCGGGATTTTCTTTCTACCAGCAATCATTCCTAAAAGCACACAGCACTGTAATGGGAAACAGAAGAGGCAGATTCTGTCCCACAGTCTGTTTCATGCTCTTGGCCGCCTCATTTCCGCTTATATAGGCAATTTAATCAATTTATGAAATGGAGATTGGGACAACTCTTTTATAAAGTCAAGTCTGACAAAAAGATTTTTTAGGACCCAGCAAAATTTGGATTGCTCCTTTCTTAGGATTATTTAGACACTTCTAGCTACAATGAGATTCTGTTTAATTGTAGGTCACCAAGAGGCAGATTGGCCCGAAGGTTGACTTTTACTTTAATTTTACCAAAGGAATATGTATACAAAGTTGTAAAAATAAAATTATATTTGAAAGGATTATGTTGAAAAAGGAGTTATCTTCTGACACTTGGATATTGCCATATTACTGCTTTCCAGGGGCAACTATTCGCAACTATTTTAGCTCTTCTATTTGCCTCCATCTTTCTAAGTAAATGTTTAGCCTATTAGTTTTTAAAAGTTTCATGTTATGTAATATATATTGACTTCCTACTATAAAATGAAGTTCACTATTTCCACATGTATGACTTTGTAAATATTTTTCATCATTGAATATTCTTATTCTACTCTCACACTTGATTGATAGCTTGGCTGGTATAAAATTCTAGTTTGGAAATATTTTCCCTAGGGGTTTTAAAAACATCATTACAATGTTTTCTAGCTTCCAGTGTTGCTATTGAGAATGCTCAGCCATTCTAATTCCTATAATCAGATTCTTTTCTATGGGAACTGCTGGAATTTTCTTTTATATTCCAGAGTCTACATTCATGATAATTGTCAAAGTATAAATTCTTTTACTCCATTATGCTGGGTGCCTTCAATAAGGATATTTGGAAAAATTATGTGTATTATTTCTTTGATCATAACTACCCCCCTTATCTTATTTCTAGAATTTCTACTACTTTAATATTACATATCCTGTATAAGCTTGTGTTTTTCTCATGTTTTTTCTCCAATTTCTACCCCCTTGTCTTCTTGTTACTTTTTGGGAAATTTCTTTAGCTTTATCTTCCAACCTTTGAATGGATTTTGACTTTCCTATCCCATTTTTAATTTTCAAGGACTGTTGTGTTATTTGAATGTATCTTTTAAGGTAACCCTTTGTTCTTTTTCTGAGAATGCAATGTCTTTCCCGCCTAAATTTTCTTCATCTGTCTTGATGATCTCTGTCTCTTCCAGAGATACAGTTTTTATTGTTGATCTCTGTCTTTACTATTACAGGTTTTCCTCCTAAATCAGGTGGTTCTTGGTTACCTTTTTATATTTAAGAGAGAAGAATATCGACAACAAGTCAACTGGAAGTTCTGTGTGCATGTATAGGGCTTGGTTAAGGGAGGACTTCTTCATAGGGTGATTTCACAGGGACTGGGTGTTTTTAGATGGCTCAGAACTGTCCATAACCTCTCAATTGTCTTAGTCAAGGATTCTCCAATCCACTGCTGGGAGGTGGAAGCTTCGTGACCAGTCGTGTGGGAGTGGGACTCTCACTTTTCAGTATGTAGATTTTTTTTCCTACCCCCGTTTTTAGTATGTATATTCTTAATCTCAATGTGCCTGTTGAGATTCTCTTCATCAAAGGTCATTTTCAGTTGGAATGAAAAGGATGTCTATAATGGTTTAACTGCTCCTTATACACACCTTAACCAATCTTCTTTTTTGTTAAGACCATGCCTTCTCCCACTTTTAGAAGCATCTTGTATCTTGCCTGAATCTTTCCAGGGATGTCTACCATGTTTTTGGTTGCTGTCTTGCAGGTACTTACTCAGATTTGCATTTCTCATATCTATGAATTCAGTGACATCTCACCTGTTTCCCTGTTTTCAAAAGCTTATTAAACTCTTTTTGTCAAATCTTCCATTCTGTTAATCCTTGTGGCATTATGTCTTCTCCTTTTCCATTTAAAAATCCATTTTCTGTCATTTTGCTGATATCTTGGCAGTGAACAGACTTTGAGTGAGGTATTGGATTTTGAGTGGATAAAGTAAATGAAAAAGAAAACTTTCTCAAGTATTTCTTAAGGGATCAGAAGTTTCAAGCCAAAGAGTTTTTACTGTCCTTTTATTTCCTATCCTATCTAAGATAATGTTGAGCAGTATTCAGCTATTATTTACATTTCTTTTCTTTTGACAAAAATGTTATTTCTTTGTGTGAGGCTGACATGTCTCATGGGATCATGGGTGTGGAGACAAAGACCTTTGTCCACGACTCCCAGCCATGACTGGGCGATTGTTTTAAGGGGAAGGTGTTTGGAGCTTTTTTATTATGTTCTGTAGCATAGTAATTAGGCCTTTCGATGACATCCAAGTATAACATACTTTAGCTCATATGGAACTCAGAAGATCAAGTTCACTTTTGGCTTTCTCTTATCTAACAGAAATATAGAAACCAATCTAGCATAGTTTCTAGCAGGGAGAGAGTTAGCTGGACATAATTTCCTCAGTTGTTAACATGTAATTTACTTTCTGAGAAAGGGCATTCGAATCTTGTGGTAATTTGCTTAAGATAAATGGACACAGTCTATTAACCCTTTTGTTCTTGTGAGAAGAGAAAAGGTCATTATGCTGTGCTGTCATTGTATCTAAGGTTCTCCTAAGGTTTCTCATTATGATGGGTAAATATTTTGTTTCTCTTAAGGGTGAATGAACCCATAAAGGAATTATTGTTTGGACTCTCAAAAAGTGGGGGCATATTTCTTATGAGCAAACCTCAGAGAATCCAAAGTTGGAGACTTGTTTTGTGGTATTGTTTCTTCCCCACAAAACCTTTATTTTCTTAATTATGCTTTCTTGGGTCTATTACTTTACTTAGTATTTGTCCCTTATCCTACAGTAATTATTTCCAGGAAATGATCACCTAAAAACTACAGAAGGTTGATGTAGATGATTTAAATGGTGGATCATCCACATGCATATAACTGACAGCTAGCTCTCAAGGATTTGCACATTTATGTCAGTGGCAAGTTCTTTTTGGTGATAATAACAGGATTATCAGGTAGCAAAGATGAAGAGATATCTTCTTTATTTGATTTGGATGTTGTGTCTTAAGCGAAACAAGAGTTAACAATCTGCACGATGCTCACATTGTACTGACTGGGTCCTTAACATAAACCTGTTTTCTCTATGTTCATACAGATATGAATATGAATCTACAGTTTCAGTTTCAGGCAATTTGTCCTCAAACAGTTTCTTATGTATGGAGGATAGAATCCAGATTTTCAGACCAACAGAAGATCCATCAGGTCATCTACTTCATTTTACTGCTTTCTGTTGAGTGAATTTGTAACTGAACACTTCTGCTGTGGGGCTTTGAGGGAGTTATTTGGTTTGGTTAAGTGAGTAAGGTAAATAAACACAAAATATTTTCTTTTTTTCAGAAATTTTGGAGAGGATTATGAAGGGGAATAGGAGTGGCTGATAACATAGAATATTAAAGCTCATATTAAAATATACTTATGAAGACTGCCTTGTATATTCTTTAAAATGGTTATTTAAATGTAAGCCAAAGGCATCTATCCAAGGACCTCTGTAAAGGAAAATGTCTTAGAAGCATGGATTTATACTATTTAAAAATAAGAAACAGAGATAGAAACAAAGTTCAAAAGATTTGTGTTATATAAGTGTTATATATATTGTGTTATATATATATAAGTTATATATATATTTGTGTTATATATTTGTGGTCTTCTTTCCCTGATAGCAGAGAAAACAGGCAAGTGGGCTGTAGGTCTGATTTACTCTGTTCTCTTTCTGTTGAACTGGGAATTTGTCTTTCTCTCCCACTTCTTTTTTACCAGGTAGCCCAACACAACAGTGGTGCATCTTGTGGCTTCCTGTAATGCCAAGCACCAACATGTCAGCATCTTCACCTTCATACGCTAAGGGGTCTGTGTAATCTGGTGATATTTAGTCTGGAGGTGACCTTATTAACTTACCTCAGACCACAAGTTTTCTTCCTGTGATGGGGACATGTTTGTGCTAGATTCATATCGGTGGAAGCAACATGATCCCCAAGGCTGGGAATGTCACTGCTGGCATGGAATCAGAAGAAACCAAAATAGTTTCAAGGAGTATAAGAATAGCTGTCTCAGAAACTCTAAGTCAAAGGAACTCTCTAAAGAAACAAAGGAAAATGGTGACATCAACATTGGCCTGTATTTTGCTTTTGAGCTGGGTTTTGCTTAAGGCTGACCCAGGTCCTATTTCCTAATTTAAAAAAGAAAGAAAGAAAGAAAACTGCACTGTGGTAGATAAATCGAATCCTTCCCAGTCCAGTGAATCTCAAGGAAAATGCACTGGTTCTTTGATCACTTGATGTTTTCAGTTTTGCCCTGGAGGAAGCCTAGAGTTTGCCTATGATCTCTAGACAAAACTCTGTGATCACCGTAGAAAAAGGTGTGAATATCCAGAAATAGAGACTATGATACTGACTGTGAATGACTGAAAGATGACCTCTTATGAAATTTCTAGACCAAACTGTGCTCAGGATCCTCACATCTGTGGGTGGCACCTGGGTGGTTTATAAGAGATGAGAATACGTTTTCATTCATTTTCCTAAAAACAGGAACCTCCAGAGAGTCTTCCTGGCATGACAACTATTTTAGCTTAGAACAAAATTGGTTAAGTCTTCAGAGATCTGCCCATCTTCTTCCCTTTCAATTCCTTTTGGCCTAGTCTTTGTTATCTAACTAAACAGCTGTTTCTCCAAGAATTGAGGCAGATTTCTTTATTAAAAGTTATTTAGTAGTTACAGTATACAGTATGTTCTTTAGAGAAAAGGTGGTTTCTACCCAGTTAAATATTTTTAGTTTCTACAAAGTAACTGGAGCTGTAGAGAATTCAAACATCAGTGAGACTCTTATTTAAATCTTAAAAATATAGTATCAATTCTAGGGAGAGATATTTCCCCAAAGTTAGTATAGAAATGGGGTAGCACGCATAGCATCTGTATCCAGCAGTTGTTGGTGAATTGATACTCTGGATGGGATAAAAAGCCCTGATTTTTAGTGTCTGCTAATTTCTGTGGTATAAATACCCCCATCAAACTACCAATGGGTTGTTACTAAACACCTAATAGGGAAGAGATGTGTATACTACTCAAGTCTCCCAACCTAGTAGGAATCGGCTCCACCATACCACTTATACTTGGCCGTACCTGAGTTACTCTGTCAGAAAATGCAGGAAGGATGGCCCAGTGAGTCATTGCTGGCATAGTCATGTATCAGTTGTTGACAAGGTACCATGTCACATAAGAACTGGAAAATGCTTACCAAAAATTTAGAATTAAGTATCACTAATACTTTATCACCCAAACACTAATGCAATGCCTTTTTTTTTAATGCAGAATGTGTGAAGGAAGCTAAATCGTTAATGTGGGTGTATGTACTAGTAGGAAATGTTATACGTGGAATTGGTGAAACTCCCATCATGCCTTTGGGCCTTTCCTACATAGAAGATTTTGCCAAATCTGAAAACTCTCCTTTCTATATTGGTGAGTTTGAAAATCTGCCTCAGCCTCTGCTCAGGACAGTAAGTTCCTGGAAGGAGACTATTAATTATTTATTTGGACTTGGTGATTCCCAGAGTGATAATCAGGGTACCTTAGCATGGATGGTCATCTGTGAAAGTGGGTTGAATGTCACAGTTGAATGCCGACTCCAAATAAGCCACCTTGCTAAATCTGCTTTTTGCTATTGAAAATATCACCGATCCAGTGTCCCTGGAAATCCTTTTGACTCCTCCATTTCCTCCATTTAGCAATATTTTCTTTAAAATCTCCCTTATATTCAAAACCTTTCTATTTTCATTACCTCTATTGTTGTTCAGGTCTCCATTACTTCATCTGTAGGTTACTGTAACTTCTTTATTGGGAATTTTATCTCTAGTATTTTCTTTTATCAATTTCTTATAAACAGTCTTGCAGTGTAATTTTTCTCCAATGTTGTTTTAATTATGTTCTTTCTACCAAGTTCATAAACTGGTACTGGCTTTTTATTTGCTAAATCTGATCTCCACTTTATACTCACAGCTCTGCACTCAATTTATCTATTTAGTGTCCTATACAGTTTTCTTCATCACAGTCTCTCCATACTTTTCAGGCTTTTTCATATTTTTCACAAATATCTGGCTTCATATTTTTGGTTAAGTTTCTTGAAATTTCCTTTTATAAAATCCATCAGTGTTAGACAAACAAGATCTGTTTTCTTATGTTGCCTTGCAGTCTCTTGAATATTCTTTATTCATTATATATAGCTTGTTTATATTTTTTAGTTATTCCATTTGTTGTTCATAAAATGATAACTTTGAATATAGGGACATTTTGCTATTAATATAGACATATCTTTTAAAAACAGAAAAGTTAAAGAGGGTGAGAGAAAATAGGAATGGAACTACACATAATCAAGATAGATCAAAATATTTAGGAATCATTACCTTAAGCAACTTTTGGCACTTTTGATGGCTCATTGATTTCACAATAATCTTTTTTAGTGTTTTTCCGTTCAGTCTTTCCACATCCCTTTACATACTTACAATGAAAGAATATAAATGCTCACCTGAAATAAATTAACAAATGTTTTGTTATAATATGCTTTTCTTTATTCAGCAAATACTAGAGTGTAATACATATAGAAATAACTGTGATAGTTTATGTATTAAGATGAATAAGACATGGTCCATATAAGGGATAGCATATAAAAAAACCACACCATTATAAATCAATTAAATTTTATAAATATATGGGTAGAAACTAAATTTGAAAAAATAAACTTGAAAAAAATGATATAAGTAAATTGGGGGTACATATGATTAAATAACTATACATCAGTTAGCTATACATCAAAAAAAGAGTTCCATGTATGGCTCTGGAAGGAGAAAACATAAAAGCTAGAAATAAAGTTTGAGGAATCATCTATACAGAGACACAAAATGAAACTGAGAGGGAGAAATGAGTTGCCATGGGAAGCCATATATACAGCGAGAGATCCTAGGATAAAATACTAGGGAAGACGTCTACTTAGTGAGTAAGTAGGAGGAAGAAAAAGCAAAAGACTGACATAAGGGGAAAAGTAACATAATAAATGTGTGCTTTTGTGAAGTTCTTACCAGGAAAATGTCAAAAGAGGAGTTAGCAATGTCAAATGAGGTGGAGAGTTAGTTTGGAGGATAAGAAAGGACATTAGATGAGGGGCAAAGAGGTCACTGGTGCTACCTGAGAGTCTTTGAGCAGAATGTGGAAGGATTTGGGTAGAGAGAGCAGAGGTGAGGAAGGAGAGGAAGGAGAGGATAAGCCATATATACAGCGAGAGATCCTAGGATAAAATACTAGGGAAGACGTCTACTTAGTGAGTAAGTAGGAGGAAGAAAAAGCAAAAGACTGACATAAGGGGAAAAGTAACATAATAAATGTGTGCTTTTGTGAAGTTCTTACCAGGAAAATGTCAAAAGAGGAGTTAGCAATGTCAAATGAGGTGGAGAGTTAGTTTGGAGGATAAGAAAGGACATTAGATGAGGGGCAAAGAGGTCACTGGTGCTACCTGAGAGTCTTTGAGCAGAATGTGGAAGGATTTGGGTAGAGAGAGCAGAGGTGAGGAAGGAGAGGAAGGAGAGGAAGTGAAAGGAAAGAGAGCAGGGTGAGCTCGAGATGCTGGACTCAGTGGATGAGGAGGTGGAACAAGCACGGTGTGAGGGGTCCTGGCTGAGCAAGACCTCAGAGGAGATAGGAGGAGATCAAGAAGATGGGCGTGTGTGACTGTGGAACTGTGGACAGGTAGAGACAATGGGCAAAGACAGATTTTGCAGTAGAAAGGAAGAAGTTGAAGCTCATGTGTGGATTTTCAGTGAGCATAGATTCTGAGTTGTCGACATGTCATGAAACAACTGACGGTGAAATTCCAGAGGAGTAAGAAGTTGGGAGGACACAGGGGCCTGATGGAAATGGAAGGTAATAATGTGGAGGATAAGAAAGGAGACGGTGATAAAAGTGAAGGGACGCATCAGGAACAGTGAGGATATAGTGGGAGGAAGTTTCAAGTTGAAGATCTGGGAGTGAAGATTTTCTGAGGGATGTGGCACAAGAATTTTATCATAACATGGTATTGCTTTAGAATTCCTCTAACTATGTGACTATGGAAAGCATCAAAAAACTCTTGCTCGCTATTGTGACTTAGTCCATAGCATGATCCCAGTCTAGGCAGCTAAGGCAAATCTCTCCCTGCGTGGCCCGGCGTGAAAGAGAATGGGGAGGCCTAGAGAGAGTGGCTGTAAACTATAAGGCTCTTTTTTCACCATGTACAGAAACAATGTTCTTCAATGTACACCAAGTTTTAATTTTCTTACAAAGTGAATATCTAAGGCAAAATAACTAAGGCAAAAACAATTCAGTCTGCAGACTTCATGGAATTAGGACTCTTTATGAAGGTATATAATGATACTGTGACTTTATATTTTCCTTTTTTTTAGGGTTAATAGAAACAGGAGCTATCATTGGTCCTTTGATTGGACTTCTGCTAGCGTCATTCTGTGCAAATGTTTATGTTGATACTGGATTTGTGGATACAGGTAATTCAATAAACCCTATTTACATAGTGCCTAGAATACACAAAGCCTCTTCAGGTATGTTATCACAGCTAATCATGGCCCAATTTGACCCCCAGTTAGGTAGATTAACTCCAATTTCCAGGGGTAGAAACTGACAGGGAGGGTTTTAGATGGCTTTTTAGATATTTCAAAGCAATGAACAGGAGAGATAAAATGCTGATCTTCTGACTCCAAGTCCAGTGCTCTTTCTATTGCCCGACCATCACATCTCTTCCTTTCAAAAGATTGAAGCACATAGGTTTAAATTTCTTTGAATCAAACAATCATTTGTAGGTAATTAAAAAGACCTTGTAGTTATTTAGTAGGTACCTATTTGCAAATTCCTTATGTAATAGGACAAGCAGCCAGAGTAATTTATTGCTAGATAATATTGTAATACCACAGATTGCCAGACAGATTTTGTGAATGTCTGAACTGTATACAAATGCCATACTTGGATAGAACCTGAGAATTGTAATTTTAATAATTTTCTGCAGTTCACATAGGAAGTAATGACATAATGACATATAAGCTAATAAAAATGTGTATATTTCTTTACAGACAATCTGATCATAACTCCCACTGACACTCGTTGGGTTGGTGCATGGTGGTTTGGCTTTCTGATTTGTGCAGCCGTGAATGCGTTTACTGCCATTCCTTTTTTCTTTTTGCCCAAAACGCTTCCAAAGGAAGGACTAGAGGATGATGCTGACATCATTAAAAATGACCAAAAGGAGAAACAAGAAGAAGAGGTCAAGAAGGAAAAGGCTGGAATCACTAAAGGCAATAATCACACAAAAATTTTAAATACTATATAATTTACTTTTGTATTTTATGTAGATGTATCTGTCTTTTAGTCTGACATGATAATATGCGTTAAGACAACTTGTCACTAATGGTCAGCAGTCAATAATGTCTAATTAGTCTGATTCTTCCTGTGCTACTACTTAGAAATAAACAATATAACTTGGAAGGTGAATTACCTCAGCTCAACATTTATATGAAATTTTATGTCAGTTTGGGTACTCAATACATTTATTTATTTAGTCTCATTTGCTTTAAAAAATCTATTTTACAGAGAACAAAGGCCTCATTAAAATAAAAAAGAAATTCAAACTAAGAACAAGAAGAGAAGAAAATACACTAATCCAAGACAAATACACAGTTTTGAAAACAAAAATACTAGCTTAACTGTGAGCTTCCTGGAATTTAAGGCAGTAAAAGAAAACATGACAGGTCCAGAAAATTCTGTATATTTGATAGAGGGAAGACTCATAATTCTTAAACAGAAATTGTTCTCCAAGTTAACACATTGTAGAAAAAGAAAAAACTATTATATGAAGTGTGATACAGGTCGCACCGAACCACAGAGCTGTTTTCCAGCAAATGCAGGAGCGTATTTCATGTAACAGTTCGTTGTTTTTGCTTGTATAGATCCTTAATAAAAGGACAAAGTATAATATATAAAAGGTGTTTCTGTGGGAAACTAAGCTAAGGTATCTATGTGTTTAGTATTTAAGAGCAGTGATTCTCAAGGTTGGCCATATACTGGAAATGTTTTTCACCTGGGAAATTTTTTAAATGACTGATGCCTGAAAATTGTGTCGTAGTCCCAGGAAGTCTAATTTAATTAATATGAGGTATGGCCTGGGCCTTGACATTCTTGAAAAATAGTCATTTAGAAGGTGGGGAGGTGTTCAGTTTCCTTAGATAAAGAAGGGGAGAATCATAATACTTATAGAATCACGTGGAACTAATAAGCATCTGGCACACATTACGTTTATTACTGCTGCTAATATGAGTGAAATTCACTGAAACCACAATTGAACATAACACTTCTCAGAGCATTAGAAGACCATTCAGAATCTTGCAAATTCTCAGATCTGTCATGATGATATTAACAACTGTTCTCACAAGGCTGATGTAGACGGATAGCGGATTTTAGCATAGAATATCGTTTTGTGATCTGCAAGATCAATATTCAAAACTAGGAGAGATCTGAGTTTAGGATAAGACATCTAGAAAAGAAATTTCAGCTACTGAGACTCATCTCTTAGGACAGGGATGTCGCCAAACATGGGTGACTTGAAAAGCCCTAGAGAGTTCTGAATGCAACTTTCTTCCCTGCCATGTACTGGATTCATATGTATGAAATCTACAGCTAGACTTGTTTTCCTGGTATTACGATCTGCTTTCTCCTGTTCAATTCATTTAATAATACTTTGTTCCAGAATGGATTTTAGTCAGTTAATCAAGCAGAATATACACAGTAGGTAAAGAAATCAAGACAGAGGATATGAAGGTAGGAAAAGGGAAAATAAACTATATGAGACTTTGACCTCAAATGGTGACAAAATGACCTAGAAGATGCATTAGAGATAGACTACAGATTTGGCTCTGAGCTATGTCAGTACACACAGAGGTGAAAGCTTTGGATAAATCATTTACATAGCCCTTAGCACGTACCTGATGAATCAGGATTTCAGAGAGTGGGACCTGGGGGTTGGTATTTTAAAAGATCCTCAGGTAGTTTTAATGTGTATCTTATTGTGAAATCATTGACAGAATTACTAAACTGTTCCTGCAAAGAAGCAGAAAAATACCTGGTACTTGTGAATATTTATGTCCCTGGAATGCCCACGATTATTTTCATTTTAAATGTTCAGGAATGATAACATCAATAATTGAGTGTGAATTGCTTTATCAAATTGATTTCCTTCCTGACTTTAGACAACAGAACAGCATCTTTCTTTCTAGATGATATCTAGAGAAGAGAAGGTATTATTAGAAGGCAAAAGGATGAAAAGGAAATGGTACGAACAGGCAAGATTTTGGTTTTCACAGACAACACTGTAGTTTTTCCTTAACACACAGTAATAGCTTAGTGGAGGCAAAACTATTGTGCTCTGATCCCTACCCAGTCAGCTGCTGCAAAAGCTACCCAAAGTATATGACTTTAGCTTTCAAGAGGTAAAAATAATTAATAATCTGTTCATTATAAAACAGAAAAACATAATTTGGAGGGGAGATGGATGTTTCAGAAGTCAATCATAAGATGCAAAGCAGTTAGTTTGACATTGTTCTCTTTTTTCATTTCAGATTTTTTACCATTCATGAAAAGTCTTTTATGCAACCCAATTTACATGCTTTTCATAATCATAAGTGTGATACAGTTCAATGCATTTGTTAATATGCTTTCCTTCATGCCTAAATATATGGAACAGCAATATGGAAAATCAGCTTCGGAAGCAATCTTTCTAATTGGTATGTGTATTGTTCTCTACATGAGTAACCCACATTTTTTTCCCTGTGAAATAGTGAAGTGTGAAGATAGGTCTAGGAAACTCTTAAATTGAAATTGTTAGGATATTTCTGCCTCTGGTACATCTCACCCTTCCATGCTTCAGATAAATCAATAAATAGTAGGGAAGGGAAGAAACCAGGAAATCCTGGGGTTCTCTCTTCTGCTCTTTCTCCTGTCACAATGCAAAATCATAATATTTGTGGAAATCTTGGAGCATGCATAAGTTAGATGCAATTTTCAGATAGACAATTTATTAATGTAAAAAGAACAGTTAACTATTAGTTTTTCTCCCAGATTTTACTCTTCAGGCTCCAGTTCATGAGCTCTGTTCCTTCTAACTTAGTTCCATCCTCCTCCTGGTGGTTCGAGGTGTCTCTGCAGTTCACACATTTTGATTTTCCTGCCACCATACTAATTCCAGAGACTCTTTCCCACCCGGAGCTTCTCTGGGGCTCTTTTTACTGTTTAAAAAAATGAATTTCCTAGACAACCTGCATCCACTTGGAGTGTTTGTTTAAAGTTCAGATACTGGTGCCCACCTCAGACGTACTAAATCAGACTCTCTGGTGTGGGAATCAGGAATGGATTGTTTAACAAGCCAAGAATGTGATTCAGTGAGCAGGCCCTAGCATTGTAAGAATGCAACCTAGGACTGTTTTTTTCGTTTTCCTTCTTTTTTTCTTTTTTTTTTTGGGCAGCAGTGAGGGAGGGAGAGTGCCTGTGAGTACCATCAAAACATGAGATGTAAATACATTTCACAACCACAGGCTCAGTAAAGTGACCCTTTAAAGTACCTGGAGGTAAATCAAATTCTTAACAACCAGGATGAACAAACAACTACAAAATTTATAAGTCATAAATTATATACATATATTGCCATCCTCCCCTCCAAAAATGGAAAGTAATAAATTACTGGTCAACTTTGACTTGTCATTCCTACCTAAATCCTAACAAAGAGATGATACCTGACTACGAGACATTTATAACCTACTGCAATTAATTAAATGAATGGTAATGATACCAATCTTTAAAATATATTTGGACATTGTAGGACATTTAAAAATCTCTGTATGGAATATGTAATTAAATGGAGAGAAAAGTCAACGAGGCTTCTTCACTGTGAGTTGGACTTAAATGGTTTCTTATGTAAGACATTATTAGATAAAGAGTGATCATACTGGTTCCTTTGTTAAGTCACTTTGTAAATAACATTTTATTTGCATTTACAGGTGTTTATAATTTGCCTCCAATATGCGTTGGATATATAGTTGGTGGTTTAATTATGAAGAAATTCAAGATCACTGTCAAACAAGCTGCCCACATAGGATGTTGGTTCTCTTTAACTGAGTACTTTCTCTATTTTTTGTCTTTTCTCATGATTTGTGATAATTCTTCAATTGCTGGCATGACCACCTCTTATAAAGGGTATGTTGTTTTCTAATGAATGTTATACTCTTTAAACAATTAATAACTTATTTTCTACAATGATTATCCATGATCAGATCATTAGCTAATTAGATGGAATGGCAGTAATACATGGTCATTCCTCATCTTTCCTCAATCGGTCAATTATAACCAATCTATTCAGGCTCTAGACTTACTGGAGAAGTTGGGAACATGTCACAGATTTAATGAGTTTGTGATTGCACATGGGTGTGTGTGTCTGTCTTTGTGATATTCTAGTAGATAGTAACGTAGTTACCAAGGAAACTACCAATAGTTTTAGGTTGTATTAGGATATGTTACCCATATATCTTATATTCCCGTAAATGGGTAAAATTAAGAGTTGACTATACAGTCTCAATCACCTTTATGTTTCCACAATGGGCTTAAATTTAGCACAGCTTTACCCTAATACGTGATAACATTAATTCACATATAAATTCATGTGTTTCATTTGTTTAGTTATGTCTCTGTCCCTGAGTAGTTTTAGACTTGTATTTTGAGGACTATCTGGGCTTAGAGGAAGGTTTTGCTCCCAGTGGTCAAGCTCTACAGATTGTCCCAGTGGTCCCCGTGAGGTGCAACTTGAGTGGGCATCCTGGGAGTGCCGCACAGTGCTGAGGAAGCTCTGCATCCGCCGTGGGCTCTCTTTCCCACTGGGAGCCTTCCCAGGGCAGTGCTGTGCCAGTCTGGAGGAGGGACAGTTAGATCGGAGTGTAATTGCTACTCTTACCTTTCTAATGTGATCCTTCTGGTTTTTAGGATTCTTCTGGTTTTTAGGTGCTTTACCCTCATGCCCTGATTCTGGGATTCTCAAAATGGTGTCTTGTCTATGGGTAGCTGCTAATTAGTCTCCCTTTGGGATGGACTAAAGTCAGAAACAACTCATGTTGCCATTTTGATGACCACTAGGTTATTTTAATATTGAAAGGATGTATTTGTTTACTCAAGTAGTTATGGTTCTGGCTAATATGTATTTGGTGTCTACATTATAAACTGAATTTACAGATTTTCATCTTCAAATCTTGAGTCCTTGCAATTGCTTTTATAAAATATAATCTCTCTGGTTACTTTCCACCAACTACACGGATGAGGTCATCTCCACTTTTGAGTCTCATATACCTGGAAAAATATCTTGCATATAATTAGCACTCCTCTGATGCTTGTTTATTGGCTATTTGTTTATCGGAAAGAAATCATTGGAAAAGCGGCTAAGTGGTTACTGTTGAAACAGGAATCTCTTATGCTAGAGACACGGTATCTGAGCCACGCACTGAGGACTGATAGATTTAAAATTTGATTCCTATTAAAACCTGGAAATGTATAAGAATTCAGAAAGAGTTGACTTTACTCTGTTCTTGAAAAAAATCATATTTTTTTGAAACAAAGCTTTGTTTATATGTATCTAAATATTTCAACTTAGCATTCTGAAATTTTGTTTGTCCTACTTAGTATTGTGGCAAAATGGTGTGTATGTATTCTTAAAAAGCATGATTAGGATAGCTGAGCTATTGCAAATTCACTCTGCATACTTAGAAAGAAATATTTTTCTGAAACAACCCTTCTGTGTTTTGTTTTGTGTGATAATCCTAAGAGACACCATACAAGAGATAAGAATAAAGGGAATAAATAGTCTCCATCTTGATCTAGCTGGCAATGTAGAAAACATGTGAGATTTGTTTTCAAGATTTTTCTTTCTTAATATATTATTTTTTGACAGGTGTTCCAAAATTGTAGCTGCATTCAGACATCAGGAAATTCATCTGCAGTTCTTGGGCTGTGTGATAAAGGACATGACTGTTCCATGATGTTGCAGTACTTTTTAATCTTATCTGCGATTAGCAGTTTCATTTATTCTTTATCTGCCATACCTGGATATATGGTTCTGCTAAGGTACAACAGTTATTTCCTTTATTTAGTTTCCTTTTGGGTCATTTCATAAGGTAACTTTTTCTAGGAAAGTCACTTGGAGCACGTTGTATCTAAGAATTTAGTGCTATAATTGATCATTTCTTAAGAGTTTCACATAAAGCCTTGGGTTTTGAAAATTTTTACAGTTAGCAATATAAATGTTCATCTGTTGGCATGTCCCTACCTATCTATCCTTTCTTAATTCTTAGAGTTAATTCTTAGAGTTTAACTCTCTCATTATTTAACACAAAAAGAGAACACATGTACATTTTAGTGTAATTTACATAAAATGGTCATTTTGGTAGGTAAAGAGTGGTTGCCCAGCAGTCATTTCATGATTGAATCTGTAGCACAGCAGGGTGTAAAGCTTTCAGATGTTCTAGTTTTACCAACTACTATGTACAGTGCATTAGGCAGGTCACTTGATCTTGTTGAGCCCCATTTTTCTTTAATACAAAATTGACATAATAATAAATGCTCAGTTTTCTTCAAAGCATTGTGAGATCAATGATGAAGGTCTTTCTAAACAGGAAATGGCAAAGCTCTTTGATTTTGGGGATTCAAACAGGTATATTATTACACCTGTGTTTTTTCAGTTACAGCATTCCTCATGCCTTCTAAACAATCCTAAATCTGCCTTGTAAAAGAAGGTTTGCATTTTCTCTTTTTTCATCTTTTGTTGGAACTCAGAAGCAGAATTTAGTTAATCATGGTTCTCAGTCCATAGCACATCATCTCAGGTTGAGGTAAAGTTTCTCTTTTGTTTTATTGTATTTTTTTTTCATTCCATTCCCTATTTCCTCTCACCCTAAGCACCCACATTAATATGATAGATATATGTTCTTACACATATTTTTCCTTTGCAAAACATTTAGGTTTTTTTTGTATGTGTGTGTTTTCATATTCACACAAATGGTGTTTTGTCATAAATCTGTTTTGGTTCATAAGGCACATGAATATATAAACTCACCAAATATTGCTAGTATTTATGAATTATTCTCACACCATCAATACATTGGAGTTCCTACCTCTTTAGAGCCTACTAATACTTGGAATTATGTAACTTCCTGACTTTGACTATTTCAATGGCTGTAAAATGGTAGCTCTTGAATGTTTTAATACATGAATTCTTGAGTCGGTGAGTTTAACTCTCTCTTCAAACTTTTTTCTAGCAATTTTGGGCCTCTGCTTTGAGATGCTTATTGTCTTTGACCATTTTCAATTATATTTCCTGTATTCTTTCTTGTTGATTTTGTTGATTACTGTATACATTATAGATATTAATGTCTCTCATTATTTAACACAAAAAGAGAACACATGTACATTTTAGTGTAATTTACATAAAATGGTCATTTTGGTAGGTAAAGAGTGGTTGCCCAGCAGTCATTTCATGATTGAATCTGTAGCACAGCAGGGTGTAAAGCTTTCAGATGTTCTAGTTTTACCAACTACTATGTACAGTGCATTAGGCAGGTCACTTGATCTTGTTGAGCCCCATTTTTCTTTAATACAAAATTGACATAATAATAAATGCTCAGTTTTCTTCAAAGCATTGTGAGATCAATGATGAAGGTCTTTCTAAACAGGAAATGGCAAAGCTCTTTGATTTTGGGGATTCAAACAGGTATATTATTACACCTGTGTTTTTTCAGTTACAGCATTCCTCATGCCTTCTAAACAATCCTAAATCTGCCTTGTAAAAGAAGGTTTGCATTTTCTCTTTTTTCATCTTTTGTTGGAACTCAGAAGCAGAATTTAGTTAATCATGGTTCTCAGTCCATAGCACATCATCTCAGGTTGAGGTAAAGTTTCTCTTTTGTTTTATTGTATTTTTTTTTCATTCCATTCCCTATTTCCTCTCACCCTAAGCACCCACATTAATATGATAGATATATGTTCTTACACATATTTTTCCTTTGCAAAACATTTAGGTTTTTTTTGTATGTGTGTGTTTTCATATTCACACAAATGGTGTTTTGTCATAAATCTGTTTTGGTTCATAAGGCACATGAATATATAAACTCACCAAATATTGCTAGTATTTATGAATTATTCTCACACCATCAATACATTGGAGTTCCTACCTCTTTAGAGCCTACTAATACTTGGAATTATGTAACTTCCTGACTTTGACTATTTCAATGGCTGTAAAATGGTAGCTCTTGAATGTTTTAATACATGAATTCTTGAGTCGGTGAGTTTAACTCTCTCTTCAAACTTTTTTCTAGCAATTTTGGGCCTCTGCTTTGAGATGCTTATTGTCTTTGACCATTTTCAATTATATTTCCTGTATTCTTTCTTGTTGATTTTGTTGATTACTGTATACATTATAGATATTAATGTAATATTATTTACGTAATATAATTATCTTCTCCTAGTCCTTTTAATTTTCCCACAGTATCTTTTATAAAATTAAATCTTAGATTTTGTTGTACTGAAATCTAACCATCTTTTGGCCTTAGGGTTTGTGTGTTGGGGAGTCACATTTAAAAAGCATCTCTACATTCCTAAATTGTAAAAATATTCTCCTACATTTTATCCTACTGGCTTTACACCTTTAGCTTTTACATATGATTCTTTAAACCACCTCAGGCCTGTCTTTATGTGTGGTGCAAGGGAGAGGGACATTCACTGTAATTTTTCTCCATTAGCTAAAATAGCTTTCTCAACATCGTAGCATAAATAAGGGATCCTTTCGCTGTTAATTTGTGGTGCCGCCTTTATCACATCTTAAGTTTTTAAAATTACGTGGGCCAACTGTTCACTTTTATTCTGTTTCATAGTTTTATTTGTCTTTTCTCATACCAATGCCATATTGATTTTATTACTTTGATGTTGCAGTATGTTAATATCTTTCTTACTCACCCACCACTGTCACCTTTACTATTCATTTATTCTTTTCTTCCTAAATTGATACATCTATTGATGCATGAATCTTTATACTCACATAGGAGTATTGACTAACCTTGTGTGTGGATGCCATAGATGAATGGGAAAAAATCTGATATCAAATATTTATGAGCATGGAATATCTTTCCATTAATTCAGATTTTCTTTTAGATACCCCATATACACACACGACACACACAAACACACACACACAGATTGGTATCATTTACAATGACAAATATGTACATATCCATGTGTCACTATTTTCTCTTATCTTTTCTAGTTAGTTGTTGTTGATTTAAAGGAATGCTGTTGATTTTTTAAAGTTTACTTTTTAATCCAGCAGCTTCTCTTATTTATTCTAAAAATGTGTTGATTTTGCTAGGTTTCCTATGTAGACATAGGCAAAGATAGAGAATTTTATCTCTTCATTTCCAAGCCTTACACATCTTAGGCATTTTAAATTTCCTTATAGCATCAATATGGACCTCCAAAATTGTGTTGAACTGTAGTGAGTATTCTGTTCTTTTAATTTTAATGGAAACCATATACAACTTTTCCATTAAGTATGATGCTTCTGTATATGTTTAGTATACAGTTGACCCTTGAACAATGTGTAGCTTCTGACTCCCTCAAAGCTTAACTATTAGTAGCTTATTGTTGACCAGAAGCCTTACCAATAACATAGTCAATTAACACATAATTTGTATATGAATTAGACATTGTATTCTTACCATAAAGTAAGCTAGAGAAAAGAAAATGCTATTAAGAAAATCATATGGAAGAGAAAATATATTTGCAGGACTATGCTGTATTTATAACATAAGTTTATATAATCTGTTTAGATGAATCAACTCTGTCAGTACTAACATCAATATTGTCTTACATGATACAAAACACTGCAGATGTTATACATGTTACCAACACTAGATACTGAAAATGAGAAGATAATGTGAAAAAAGAAATTCCCACATTCAGTTACAGGAATAACAATTCATACATTGATAACAAAGAAACAGCAATATGATTAGTGTAACCATATGACCAATATAATCGATACGGTTGCTTCACAGTAGCTTAGCCTATACATTAATGAATGAATCATTATAAAAATCTCATGGCAGTATTACAGCCATATTTATAATATAGTATTGGAAATATTTTTTTAAAAAGCCACTCACCTGTGATGACAGGCTGATAACATGGTTTCTCCAATTGCAAGGGAGAGAGGCACACTGTACGGTAATGAAAGCAAAGTTATCAAACAATAAGAAAATTAACTCACTATTAATGTTATGTTATATGTCACTCACCCTATGCTTATAGAAGGATGAACAGTCCATTTCCATACAAGTCTCACACACGATGTTCTACATGAATACTTGGGTGACGATGATGATGAGACACAAATGTGTCTCACATTTCTTGCCATACAATTATTAGATTTTCATATGAAGACACCCATATATGTATACAGCAGGTAAGTTTATTAACTGTATAGAATGGGGATACTTACTGTTAATTAAGTGGAAGTGGATCATCATCCTGGTCATCTCCATGGTCGGTAGGCCGAGGAGAAAGCAGAAGGGGGGAAAGAGAAGGTGCTGGTCTTGCTGTGTCGGATGGCAGAGCTGGGAAGGTGGAGGAGGTAGAAGGGGAAGCAGAAGCGGAAGGCACACGGTGTAACTTTATGGAAATACATCGTAATTTCTGTCTGACCTTTTTGCTCTTTCATTCCTCTAAAAATGTGTCTGTACAGTACCAGTCCTTTCACAATTGGCTGTGGTTTCAGTGTCCATATCGCAGAAAGGTCTATGTTGTAAAAGAAGTCAAAAGCGGTCTTGAAGAACTGAAACGCTTCCGGCAGATGGTCTAATGTCATTTTGCTTTGTGGCATTGCTCCTACTACATCTTCTTCCTCGTCTGGACTGGGCTCGGAAGCACTCATCTCCATCAAGTTGGCTTCTGTGAATTTCTCTGGTGTGGTATCTATTCACTCTTGAATTTCTGCAAGATCTGTATCTTGGAACCTTCACTGCCCCACCTTTTTTTTTTTTGTTTTTTTCCCCCACCATATCTACAAACTCTTTCAG